ACAGTGACAGATTAAATCAAAAGAGTTTTCGGCTAAACATTAGGAAGAACTTCCTGATGGTTAGAGTGGTTCCTCAGTAGAACAGGCTTCCTTGGGAGGTGGTGGGCTCTCTCCTCCTTTGGAGGTTTTCAAACAGAGGCTAGATGGCCATCTGATAGCAATGCTGATTCTGTGAACTTAAATACAAAAGCAACCAAAGACAAAGGAGTGACAGAGCTGCTGTAACCAAATATATTAAGCTCCGAAAATGGGCTGCATCTCAGAGGCTCCCAAATCATATAAAAGTTCCACCAATAAGAATTCACAAATAATAACTCTATTGAAAACAGTACAACACTGTAGTCAAATAAAAAAACCAGTACCAATGAACTCACAAAATTTACAAAAGTCCAGTTGTACCCAAATACATCCTATTTGGTCAGTTGGCAACTGGACTTTTGTAAATTTTGTGAGTTCATTGGTACTGGTTTTTTTATTTGACTACAGTGTTGTACTGTTTTCAATAGAGTTATTATTTGTGAATTCTTATTGGTGGAACTTTTATATGATTTGGGAGCCTCTGAGATGAAGCCCATTTTCGGAGCTTAATATATTTGGTTACAGTGATTCTGTGAATTTAGGCAGATCATGAGAGGGAGGGCAGGCAGGGGTGCCTCAGTGCTTAGTTCTTGTGGCCCATTCTTACATGCCCAGGGAAATGCTGGTCGCCACTTAGGGGTCAGGTAGCAATTTTCTTCCAGGCAAGTTTGGCCAGGGATCCTGGTTTGGTTTTTATTGCAATCTTCTGGGCATGGAGCAGGGGTCACTAGGGGTATGTGTGTGCGTGGAGGTATTTGTGAATTTCCTGCATTGTGCAGGGGGTTGGACTAGATGACCTTGGAGGTCCCTTCCAACTCTATGATTCTATGACACAACAATATTCTGGGATGGTGGTATGACAGCCCCCCAAAGACTGAACCCCCTAATTCCCATTGCAAAAGAGTAGCCATATTCCTCTGTTATAAGGGGGGGGCACAGAACTCAGTGATAAATGCAACGCAGCATTTCCTTTCAAGATCCCATCACCATACATAACTTTTGAAAATGCAAGACCATCACTTTTCAGATTTCCTTGAGACTCTCAGGAAGGGTTCTGTCCAGTTCCATTCCTTTCATCTAGTTCTCATCAATGAGAGAAGCCTAAATGAGAGCAAGCTTAAACAGGTCTACTCCCGGTCCAGCTCAGGAATATTTAATGCTGTTCCTTAGGGTTGCAGCTAGGGTTGCCAACCTCAAGGCGCTGCCGGGAGATCTCCTGGTATTACAGCTCATCCCCAGATGCCAGAGATCAATTCCCTCGGAGGAAACAGCTGTTTTGGAGGGTGCAATGGATGGTGTTATACCCCCTGATGGAAATGTGTACCTCTTCCCCCACCCCCAGCTGCCATATACCGGGGGGGGGGCACCTATTCCTAGCTGATCTGAAACTTTAGGGAAATCCGATCTCGGATCTCCTGCCGTCTGAAGTCCCTCCATCACCCCCCCCCTCCCGGTGTTCCCTCCAGACAGAGTCCTTGCGTGGTGGAACCCACTCCCAGCGAGAGTGAGGGATGCCACCGTTTGGTGGCTGGCTCGCCGCCAAGACAAGGGTGTCTTCCTGTAACTTGCTCGTCGCCTTCTCGTAAAGCCCTTCTGTGTCCCGGGCCAGCACTATTTACCCTCCTCAATCGCCTCCTGCCACTTCCTCCTTGCAGAGGCGACACCGAGGCAGCCAGAAAGCCCGGTACCTGCCCGGTCCGACCCACACGGCCAGGAGAAGGAAGGATCCGACGTCCGCCCGCCCGCCCGTCCACCCAGTGGCCTTGGAGGTGCCGGTCGGGGCTGAGGATCGCGCTTCCACTACCCTTCCGCCGCCTGGCACGGTTGCCTGATGCCCCGGGGGCCGCCGCCACCCCGATGCCCGGAGCCCGGGCTCTCTCGGAGGAGAACGGCACCCTCTTCCCCTTCTTCTCGGAGTTCAAGGGCGCCCATCGCGTCGCGCTCACCGCCCTGGAGACGGCCGCGCTGACGCTGATCTTCCTGCTGGCCTTGGCGGCCAACGCGTGCGGCATCGCGCTCCTGGCGCGCCGCCGCAAGCGCTGCCTGCGCGCCTCGGGCTGCCTGGTGCTCAACCTCTTCTGCGCCGACGTGCTCTTCATCAGCTTCATCCCCGTCATCCTGGTGGTGCGCTGGACCGAGAGCTGGACGCTGGGCGAGGCCGCCTGCCACCTCCTCTTCTACGGCATGAGCCTCAGCGGCAGCGTCACCATCCTCTCGCTGGCCGCCGTCAGCCTGGAGCGCGTGGTCAGCATCGTGCGGCTCAGGCCTTTGCGGCCCTGCCAAGGCCGGGTGGTGGCCGCCATCCTCCTGCTCATCTGGGCCTTCTCGGCGCTGGCCACCCTCCCGCTCTCCCTCTTCTTCACCGTCGTGCCCCAGCACATCCATGGCCAGGTAGGAAAGCCGAGGAGCTGGTTGGGCCAGATCCAGAGATAGGGCCAGGTCCAGAGCAGCTTTGTTCAGAGGACAGCTGCTGTGGGGCCTGCTTTCCATGAAGCCTGCTTGGAATAAGGATGGAGTCGAAGTTGGAGCAATACCCTTTTCTTTTTTTGCCATCAAGTCTTAGCCAGCTTTTGGTGACGCCCGAGGTTTTGCAGAACAAGAGACAAACAAATTGCCTGCCTCTGCCTTGGAAGCCTGGACTTCTCTGGTGGTCTCCTACTCAAGTACCCGCCTTGCTTAATTTCCAAGACTGGGCTAGCCTGAGCTATGTGGAGGAAGGCTGATCTATTATAGTATTTCTTACTTTGAGGGAAGGTATCACGGTGCAACCTGATCTCACCAGATCTCGAAAGCTAAGCAGTTCAATGCTCCCTCTAAGCTGTGGAGTCTTGTGAGCAAAAATTCTACTTGGTGAGCTACTGGCATTAAAGTTGTAAGCGAGTGATTTAGCTGCTGCATAAATTAGTTTGCTCTGGAGCCACCGTTCCTGAGTGAAGACAAAAATGAGTGAGCCGGAGGCTAAAAAACAGTGAGCTAGCTCACACTAACTCAGCTTAGAGGGAACACTGGCATTCCAACATTTGCCCAATGCATTAAGCAGTGTTATAAGTACTTAAGTGCTAAATTTGGCACAAATGGTTTTGTACTGGTTTTAATTAAAAATAATAATAGCGGGAACACTGGCTGGTACTTGGAAGGGAGACCACCAAGGAAGACTGTGCAGAGGAAGGCCATGGCAAACCTCCTCTGCTTCTCTGCTTCTCACTTGCCTTGGAAGCCCCTTGCTGGGGTCTCCATAAGATGGCTGTGACTTGATGGCACTTTATGCCCACACATCCATTTATGATTTTACTCCTCACAGCATATACACAGGACTCCAGATTCCAAAAGGAAATGCAGTACTGGAAGATGCTTACATCTTCATCCCAAGTTTGAAGTAGGTCCTCCTCATCTCCCTTGGTGAGGAGAGGTGCTGGTTATCCTTGCGCTGAAAGGCTGCAGATCTCCCCCGGTTGTTAAGGAAGTGGATCTTCTATCCAAGAAGTCCTCAGTTCAAATCTTACCCCACGAACTGAGTAGGGGACCTTAAGCAAGCCCCTACCTGCACCATCTGCACTACATGGATAATAATAATAATAATGATGATGATGATGATGATGATGATGGTTTCCTGTCTTGCAGAACTGTTATATAGTAAGTGCTTTGAACCTTTTAAAGCATGCTATAATACTAAGTATTACTATTATGTGGAGATAATAAATCATCTGGTTGTTACTGTGGAGAACAGGTGACTGCAGGTTTAAAATGTTCTCATGGTAGACCTACACACAAAACATGTTTTAAAAGGCCAGAGGTCTGAGATAGGAGCCAGTGTGGGGGATTGGTTAGACTGTTCAAATTAGAATAGAGGAGACTTGAATTCAAAGCCCCACACCACCACGAACCTCAAGGGGTGACCTTGGACCAGTTGTACTCTCTCAGCCTAACCTACCCACCACCACCCCCCGGTTACTGTGATGATAAAATAGGGAAGGGAGAAGCCTGTGCACAGTCCTGAGCCCATCAGAGGAAGTGACGGGAGATAAAATGGACTAAATAGATGGAAGTGGGGAGGAGGGTCACATGTGTCTGGAAACTTGCTGAGGGAAATGTGAGTAGGGCAATTTAGAGCTGACACATGCCAGGCCAGGGGGAGCTAAGCACCCTGCCCACTCCTTCACATTTCTCCACTCGAAATGAAGGCTTCTAGTGTCCTGGCTCCAATGATGGACCTCCTGATGGCACCTGGTATTTTTGGCCACTGTGTGACACAGAGTGTTGGACTGGATGGGCCATTGGCCTGATCCAACATTGGCTTCTCTTATGTTCTTATGACCCCTCTGAAGTGGCTTTTCTTTTAAAAAGGCAGGTCTCAGCTTTTCCTTGCATACAGTAAGTAGTTGGGCCCTGTCTGAAACCTCTCAACTCCACATTATAGTCTCTCTATATGTGCAAAGTCTCCCTTTCTCATGATTCACAGCAGGCAGTTAAATCAAGGAAAGATTCGCTGTGGTGTCCAGAACATAAAAGCTGGGGGAAACATCTGCAGTTAATTGGTCCGGCCGAAGCAATATGTTATGAGCTAGGAAGAAGGCAGCCATTGCAGAGGAGAGGCTGCAGTTGATGTACTGGTTAAGAATGGCAAACTCTAATCTGGAGAACGGGGTTTGATTCCCCACTCCTCCACATGACGCCCACTGGGTGGCCTTGGGTCAATCACAGTTCTCTCAGAACTCTCTCAGCCCCACCTACCTCACAAGGTGACTGTTGTGGGGAGAGGAAGGGAAAGAAATTGTAGGCTGCTCTGAGTCTCCAAGTGAAGGGTGAGGTATAAATCCAGCTCTTCTTCATATTATTATTATTATTATTCTGTAAAGGGGAGTCTGATGTCGGTTGCTTATTCTCAGGATCTCTGAGTGCTTCACCAAAAGTACACAATGTAGGCATATCAAAGGAGATGTAATTGGGGTTGATTTAAATATACCTGTTTTGATTATTCTGCCTTGAATGCTCTGAGGGACAGGATATAAAAGGGGAGATAAATAAAGAGAGATCAAGCCTCTCATCTGGAATTGGCACTTGATGCACACCAGTTAGAAACTAGCTTCTTGGTAGTGGAACATGAAGAAACCAAAATGTGCCCAGCTGACTGCTGTAAGAGAAGATCATGTAGGCTGGATCACCAACACCAACTCCCATCCCCCCTAGAACCGCATAAGCAACCAGAGGACAGGAAAACCAACAGCAGGTAGACTGCAGGAAGGTGTTTCAAGGCAAGCTGCTCAAACTGACTCGCAGTATCAAACCAAACTGTATGCCAGTCATTCTAAAAATACAAAGAAGGCACCAAAAGAATAAAGGAGAGCTAGTGGTACTCTGTCCACTTACTTGGGAATAAGCTGCATTGAACTCAGAAGGATTACATTCTGAGCAGAGATGCATGGGATGAGACTCAAGAGTGAGCCAGAAAATTTGAAGTTTTAATCTTACTTCAGTCATGAATACATTCAGTGCCTTTAGACAAGCCATTTGTTTCTGGCTGAAGCTCCCCTGCCTTCAGTCTACAATGATAATACTGACTTATCTTACAGAATTTTTGTAAGCATTATCCAGATAATGGGCTTGTATCCTACCAGAACTATGAGTACAGCTTGCAGAATGGGACTTTCCCGCCCCCTTTACCCACTGCAGCCAGCTGAACCCCAGAAATGTTGTGAAGAGAAAGTAGGTGTCTGCAGTGTATGTGTGTGTTTGGGGGGATGTTGGCTGAAATGCCTCCCCTTCTTTGCCAGCATAAGTGATTATTACCAATGTAAATAGGCTGTAGGATATAAGCCGTAGTATGTTTATTGCCTCAGATGCTCAGAAAGCAATATAAATGCTTTACTACTATTATTATTATGAATGGTCACAGTCAGATATTTGACTGGTAGTTGGTGTTCTGCAATTCAAGATCTAGCTAAATTCTTTGGAACTGCAGTTGTATCTTCGCAGGATTCTTGCTGTTCCAAGCAACACTGTCTTCTGGAGCTGAGCTGGTGTTATTTGCTCAATGCCCAGGGTGCCCAGGTGTTTCTTGAGATTTCTAGGCACTGCTCCAAGGGCTCCAGTGACAACTGGCACAATTGGTAATCTTCTTCCAGAGGCAGTCTAACTCTATTCATATGTCTTGGTATTTTGTGATCTCCTTTTCTATTCTGCTGCCTCCTGGGATTGCAGTGTCAATTATCCAAACCCTATTTTTCAATTTTTTTCTTCAATGATGATATCAGGAGCGTTATGTTCTAGGTGTTTATCCATTTGTAATCAGAAGTCCCAAAGAATCTTTGTTTCATCATCATTTCCCATTATCTTGTCTGGTTTGTGCTCCCATGAATTTCTGGCTGATGGCAAGCCATTCTTCTTGTAAAGATTCCAGTATAACAAAGCTGCAACTCTATTGTGATATTCTTTATAGTCAGTTTGAGCAATTTTACTGCAGGCACTGGCCACTGTGGTTGATGGTTTCATCCTTTGTCTTGCAAAGTTGACATTTGCCATCATCACTGGTCATCACATTCATACTATTCACTGGTCATCACATTCACTGGTCATCACATTCATACTATTTCCTGCTCTTGTGCAGCTAGAATAAATCCATCTGTTTCTTTCTTTAAGTGCCCATTTTGGAGACACTTCAAGGTATTTTCACTGTCAGCTTTATTCTCTATGTTTTTCAAACATTGGCCATGCAAGTACTTTTCCTTCCAGTTGTTAAAGTGAGTTTTGATTGCAGTCTTTTTGTAGTCTTCTTTGGTTTGTGTAATGTTAAATAAGTCTGCCTTGCACACTTCAACCAGAAGCTTTTCTTTGCTCTTCTTGGTGGAGTCATTCAGTGCTTGTTTTTCTTCCTCAACTGCTTGCTTAACTTTCAGAAAACCTCTTCCACCTAATTTTCTTGGTGAGTAAAGCTGATCAACATCACTTCTAGGGTATAGCGAATATACATTGTCATTATTTTGTCATAACTGACGCCAGCCAACTGATGTATAATATGGCAGTTGTAATAACAAGAGAACTGGGAATGGACATTAAGAAAAAGGCAGTTAAGGATTTTAAGGCAAAACCAAACTGGCAAATGAGATTGGTGTGTGTGCATGTGTGAACAAATGTCATTCAGGCTTAAGCACCTTAAAAGAATTCAAAGAAAGGAAACTCAAGAATGAAAGAAGAAAAACAAATCTCAGGAAGAAATATCAGTTAGATATATAAACAATACTCCAAGTTGCAGAAGAAATCAAACAAAGAATTTTTGCAGTATCCAAGAAGATCAAGAGGTACAACAGTAGGATCCAGCAATACAGACAAAACTTCTATTTCCACACTAACCAGTTCTACAAATTACTTTACTACATGGAGATGAAAAAGTAGAACCAGACAAAGAAAAGACAACAACCTTCTGGAAAGAACTCTGGGGAGACTCAAAAGAATAAAATTAAAAAGGCACCGGGATCACAGATGTGGAAAACAAACTGAAAGGAAAGCAAATGGAAAATCCTACAATAACCCTGGAAAGCCTGCAAAAACAACTGAAGAAAGTGAAAAACTGGACAGCGCCTGGAAGAGATGAAGTCCATGGCTATTGGCTTAAAAAGCTGAGAAGTCTTCATCCACGATTTGTGCAGCAGCTTAATGATGTGCTCTGTTCCAAAGCAGTAGAAGATTGGATAACAACTGGTAAGACAATTCTCTTTCTGAAGAACAAAGAGAAAGGAGCAGTGCCGAGCAACTTTGGCCTCATTACCCGCCTCCCAATAACTTTTAAACTACTGAAAGGAATTGTAGCCGATTCCATTCAAGAATACCTACAGCCCTCTAAAGTAGACCTAGCTTTAAAACTGTTAGACCTTGCGCTAATGGATGATTTGAGTTTAAAATTACAGGGGAAGAATAACATGGTACAAAATAATAGATGGAAAAGGGTTTATAATTGGATAAAAAACTTGAAGGAATGAAAGACTCTGGAAATGTATGTAATCTGCAAAGATGTAATGTTTTATGAAAATTAAAATAAAACTTAAAAAAAAAGAATACCTACAGCTCCGTTCAGTTTTACCATCTGAACAAAAAGGCATTTTCCAAAAATCCCAAGGCGCTAAAGATCAGTTATTGATTGATTAAATGGTCTTACAAAATTGTAAAAGACAAGAAACCAATTTGAATGTTGCTTGGATTGATTACAAGAAGACATTTGATTCACCCCCTCATACATGGATCCTGAAAACACTAGAATTGATAGGCATCAGCAAAACTGTAATGTTTATCGAAAATTATCATCGTCATCATTGAATGGGAATGGGACTGAATGGGAACTTGGACGAGGCACAAACACTTAAAATGACTACTTTGCCACAGTTTTGAGTACAAAAGATGGTTTTGAAAAAGACTGAGCTGAGAGAACACTCAAGTTTGGTGTGTATAGAGTTATATTGGACACTAGCACCGCAGTGCTGTACATAGGGTTGCTAGCTCCAGACTGGGAAATACCTAGAGATTTTAGGGGTGGAGCCTGGGGAGAGTGGGGTTTGGGGAGAGGAGGGACTTCTGTGGGTTATAATGCCATAGAGTCCACCTTCCATAGTGGCCATTTTCTCCAGGTGAACTGATCTCTGTCTTCTGGAGATCAGTTGCAATGGTAGGAGATCTCCAGCCATCACCTGGAGGCTGGCAACTCTAACTATTAGCTATACAAAGTTAAACCAATAGGCTTAGACTGGAGTAACCTTGCACAGGATCACACTGTAATTCTTCTGAGCCTTAAAAGAAGCATAAAGCTCTTAATACATAGAGAAAGACATTTTAAGATGTACAAGGTAATCCCAGTTTCAGGAGAAGAGCACCTAGCTCCTTGTTGAAGAGAACAATCCTAAGCAGGTCACCTCAGACGTCTACTCAGGTCTTTCAGTGGGGCTTCCAGGAAAATGTTCTTAGGATTTCACTGGAACAAACTGATACCTTTGAAAAGTTGAAAGCAGTTTCCTTTTGGAGCCACTGTTCCTTGTCTCACTTTGTGTTGCATTTAACAAGCAATACCAAGCAATAAAGAGCTGCGGTGGCTCAAGTGGTTAAGACGCTGAACTGCAAGCTGTGGAAGGTCGGTAGTTCAGCAGTTTGAGACCCGAGTTGCCGCATGATGGAGTGAGCTCCCGTCTCTAGTTCCAGCTCCTGCCAACCTAGCAGTTCGAAAGCAAGAAATTGCAAGTAGATAAATAGGTACCGCTTCAGTGGGACGGTAACAGCGTTCCGTGCACCTTGGTGTTTAGTCATGCCGGCCACATGACCAGGGAAATGTCTTCGGACAGCGCTGGCTCTTCGGCTTTGAAACGGAGATGAGCACCGCAGCCCTAGAGTCGGATTCGACTGGCTTTCGAGCAAGGGAACCTTTACCTTTACTTTTATCAAGCAATAATGATGACAAAAGAATAGACTAGTTCCCACCAATGTTCCCTCTAAGCTGGGGAGCCTTGTGTGCAAAAATTCTACTTTGTGAGCTGCTGGCACTAAAGTTGTGAGTGAACAATTTGGCTACTGCATAAATTAGTTTGCTCTGGAGCCGTCCTTCCTGAGCCGAGACAAAAAATGTGTGAGCTGGAGGCTAAAGAACTGTGAGCTGGCTCACACTGACTCAGCTTAGAGGGAACACTGGTTCCCACCCAGTAAAACAAAACTTCTGGACCGAGGCAGCGTGGCAGCACTGTTGTTGTTAGATCTGTCGGCCGCGTTTGACGCGGTCGACCACTAGTTGCTGACCCACCGCCTCGCCGACGTGGGGATACAGGGGCTTGCCCTTCAATGGCTTGCCTCTTTTCTCCAGGGTCAGGGATAACGAGTGGCGCTAGGGGAGCAGCAGTCCCGGAGACAACCACTCAAGGGGCAGTGCTCTCCCCAATGTTGTTTAACATCTATATGCGCCCCTTGCCCAGATTGTCCGGAGGTATGGGCTTGGGTGTCATCTATATGTGGATGACACCCAGCTCTGTCTGCTGCTGAGCGGCCGGTCGGACTCCGGCCCAGAAGATCTGACCTGGGTGTTGCAAGCCGTGGCTGGGTGGCTCAGACTCAGCCAGCTAAAACTAAACCCAGCGAAGATGGAGGTCCTGTGCCTAGGGCGGTGTGGGGATGGGGATCCCTCTCCCGACCTTCGATGGGGCGCCTTTGGTGCCAGCGTCGGAGGTTAGGAGTTTGGAAGTGCTCCTGGATCCCTCCTTAACTATGGATGCCCAGGTGGCAGCCA